ATCAATCCTTGCCCTCCTGGCCCAGTGCCACGGTCCCGTGGGTGCCAGGCCCCGGCAGCACATCCACATAGTGATGGGTGGCAGCGGGCAAAGCAAATGTGACTGATCCTTGTCCCCAGGGTGACCGAGCGCAGGCGTACTGTGAGCTGGAGAGCGCCCTGAGGGAAGCCGACAGCCGCCCGCCCTGCGGAGTGGTGAACCGGCTGCTGGCAGAGGTGTCCCAGGACCTGACAGCAGCCCAGGTGAGGGGTCACTCCCAAAGGCAAAAGGAGCCGCCTGCCCACGCTGGTGTTCTGCTGGTGGATGGTGGTGGCTTAGGCCTTCCAAGGGCCTCAGGCAGTCTCCTGTGCCGTGTGTCACCAGAGACTCTTTTTCAGGGCGTGACAGCCAATGTGAGGACAGCTGCCAGCAATGTCCTGGTGGCTCTGGCCCAGATGCACTTCACCTTGGTGATGGCTGAGCTCCAGAGCCTCCTGAAGGCCACAGGGGAGATGTCCAAGGAGTTTGTGCTCATCACCCTGAGCAAACTCTTCAGCACATATGGTAGAGTGCCCTCAGCCTCCTGACATCTATAACAACCGGGAAAGGGGCCTCTCCCCTCCGCGCGTGATCTGCGTTGAGCTGGGGGATGCAGGGCTGCAGCCCCTCCTCCCACTCTGCCAAGACTGACTGTGGCCCTCTCCTTCCTCTCTGCAGCTCCACAGTGCATCTCCTTCACGTGGCTGACGCTGGCCGGCCTGCGCAGTGTGGTGGGCCAGGTGAAGAGCGGCCGGATCCTGCGCATCGCTTGTGCTGGTGAGTGCTGGCCCCAGAGCAGGGGGCCTCGGGACAGCCCTTGCACCTCGCCCTGCTGCAGATTCTCACTGGCTCCCTTTTCTTGCACTCTCTTTTTATTTTATTTTTTTTTTTAATTATTATTATTATGGTTTTTTCAGTTGTGAAACAGTGGCTGGATGGAGTCAAGACTACCTTGTCCTCTGGAACCCAATGCCCCTGGTCTGCCATGGAGAAAGAGCAAATCTATGAGAACATTCACGAGCTGCTCTTCTCTGTGGTGCAGAACTGGCAGGACTGCCAGGAGGAGGAGGTGAGCATTGCTGCACTCCCAGACCAGGATGGCAGGGGGGGCACCCATGTCGGCAGCTCTGTCTGAGTCCAGCAGGCTGAGAGCTGAGGGGTGACAAGAGGGAGTGGGCTGGCTCTGCAAAAGGCCCTGAACTGGTCTGTGCCAGGAAGCAGCTGCATGTCACAGCATTGTGGCAGGAAGAGCTGGGGATGAGGGTGTGGGGAAAATCTGCCTGCCCTCCAGAGGGAGCCCATCTTCTGCTGGGCATAGGAGTATGGGGAAAGGGAAGGGAAAGAGAAAGCCCTCTCTGTAGGAAGGGCAGACCTTCAGTCTTTGATGGCGGGCCTCTGTCATCCTCTCCAGGACAAACAGGCTGTCCTTGGGGCTGTGGCTGCCATGTTGGATGTTCTCCTGCAAGAGGAGCTGCATCAAGAGCAAGTCTGGGAGCAGCTCCTCTGGCTCATTTACCCATGTCAGGAGATCCAAGACACCTGCAGGGTGGCCAAGGTGAGATATTGTGCAGGGCTCAGGGTGGACAAGGGGCCCGTGCAAGTGCCACGAGGGGTCAGGGG